TGGTGAAGCCATGCAAAGCATGTACAACAACACATAACTTCGTGCTATGGAGAGCGAGACAAATTCACTTAAAGACCACAAGTCGTGGGGTTCTGTGAAGAAACACGGTCCAAACGGAATTATTCAAAGTTCAAGGCACACCTGGTAGCAAAAGGTTATAAATTTAACCCGGCACTCCTTGTCAGACTTAATTTCACAGCACTTGAACATTATATACGTATTTGATTTGCGCGTCTTGCGGCTCGAAATTAACCTTGTTGTCAAAAGTGCGTCTCGACAAGTGGTCGCTAGTTGGTACTTACCGTTATGGAGAAGATTGTGTAAGATTTCTCACATGTCGGACTGTGTAACATGCAGAGATACAGCTTGAATAGTGCGCAAGGATAGGCGGAGACGTGGTTCTCGCTGATCAGTAAGTAATATGAGAATCCAGTTTAGTGAGTCCTTAATATTGACAAAGAACATTTTGGAAAATTTAGCAGGCTTAAACTTGCAAATAGATTTGCGATATAAGGGCCTAATATTTCTTGCACTTTTCAACATTATTCGAACAATGCTCAATAATTCTACCTAAGATTATGGGCTCGCTAAGCTCTCTCTTCATCGACGCATCTTTACAAGAACGTTTGCCGAAAGTGATGATGTGCTGAAGCATTTTTACTCATTCAAGATGGCAGAGTAACCCGACGCTGTCAGCATTGAAAAATTTTCCATCAAGCTTTTGACAACGGCGAGCTAGTCGAATGCTTTTCTTTATTTGAGCCGAGAGTCGACTCGCTGTCATTGGAGCTAGTGACGTCTCGAATTCTTCATGAGGATCCAAATTCAACAAACAAGACAGCGACGTGAATGGAGCTGCGCACAGACAAGGTCGAGCGTTCATGTCAATCGATAATGGAAAGCAAAAAGGATGGCGTGAGCCGATATAGACTTATGGTGCTTGTCATTGTTGCGGGGGCAAGGGCTTTGAGTTGCTGAGTGTCTTACTTGCACAGAATGGTGATGGCTTCGGTTATCGTCTTTTCTCGGTTGGAGGTGTAGCGTATGCCGCCAAGTCAAGCGCTTGACTTACTCGAGAAAGTATACAAAGAGCTACAAGACGATTGTTTGATTAGCCTTGCATTTTGCGGTCGACACTGGAGTGCAAGCGGTATTACAATGTCGCTGATGACACCACGAAGACTGAAGTAGAGTATGCTTACAACGGTTGGCACATTCCGAAGCTCTTGTGCAGCTTCTTTTCCATCAGACGATTTACCAAGGATGTGGGCCCAGTCACTTCCAAGCAAAACGGATGCATCACCAAAACGAAAGAGTTTTGCTGGAGACCTGGAAAAGAGAAGAGAAGAGTCCGTGGGGGCGAAGAAATGTTCAAATGTGTATGAAGTGGACGCGGTCAATGTGACAAGCTCGTAGAGTGTCACAGGTACACCATATCGTACCTGTAGCGCCTTCGGCTTGGTCTTATTGGCCGAGGTGGCTTAATGACCTCAGTCACAAAAGTGTATGGCACTGGTATCAACTTATTATCAGTAAGCCAGTGGGGGTCATTCAATGAATGAGCACTTGGAAAGCCACCACGTGTAACTTATCATGCCAAAAAAGTGGTCGACGTTGTTCCAGCAACATTTGAGGCCGGATATAGACGCTAAATTTTGGGGGAAGCGCTAGTTTATTGAACGAACGCCGCGCTTCTCTTTTGTATACCTGCTCTAAACCAAGCCTGATGTATCCGACAAGTTTGCTAACTTTGTCGCGCTAGCCTAAAATCAGAAAAGCAAACTCCGGCCTGACAATCGTGAAGAATACACTTCTCGCACGATGTTTAAGATCTGAGCAGAACATGGCGTGATGAAAAAGTTACCATACACATCTTGAATAATAACGGAGTTGCGTATGAATCGCTACGCTTGTAAAATGTGTTGTGTGCTCAAATACGCTGGTTTGCCATAGACGTAGTGAGGCTAAGCTGTAACGACTGCTACGTTTCTTTAAAATCGGTGCTCGACACGCGTTGTTGGCAACAATGTGTCTCCGTACAAAATTTGGACCGGTAAGATCCGGTGGAGCAAATTGAGATTTTTCTGGCTGTGACTGTAAGTTTCAAGCAGAAAATGGTCCCAGCTTGACGCTCATTCAGTTTGATGTCGTTTTTGGCTACTTAAAGCACGAGATAGCGTTCAGGTTCGAGAAACTTACGGCCGTTGCATTTGTGTTAACCGCGATACGCAGTTTATGGAACCTTCCAAGCGCAGAGCTTATATCGGGATGAGATGTCCACGCTACACAAGAGTTTAGGGCTGCTTACGTCGTTCATTCAGTGGGAAAAGTGCCGACTATGTTCAAGTCGGCAATTAAAATAAGCGCCGCTGAGAAGTGGCAAGAAGTCTATCACTCCAGGACCCAATCAGCTCGTGGAATAGCACTCAGAGACTCGTACATATATCAAAAGGTCGTAATGCAATCGACAACAGATGTATATTTCGCGTTAAGGAAGCTCAAGATGGCAGTTTTAAGCGATACAAGTATGCCCTGAGGCCTAGGGGCTCCCACAGAAATACCGTATAGACTATGAAGAAACGTTTACACATGATGAGGCAAAATTTACGTCTTACCGCTCACCATTCGAATGTAAATACAGCATTATCGAGCGAACAGCTTAAGGAAGACAATTACATGAGATACTCTAAAGGATATAACGATAAAGAACAATAATATAACATTGAGAAGAGATGCACACATGCTCAACATGTAAAGGAATGCTGTACGACCCATATAGATCTAGTTGCTTTTTTAACTTGAGGCCACTACTACTTGTAAAAATGAGTTCGGCTGATGGAGAATATGAGGATAAAAGTTACAAACCAATTGGCATGGAAAAATCATTTAGTAATGCGAAATCTTGTGGTTGCAGCTCACACAAACAATGATCGACTGAAGACCAATCATTACCAACTGTCTCTGGATTCTTGCACAATATAAACCAAGCTCAAGCTGAATGATTGGCAAGATTGCAGAACAACTCAAAGTCAGCTGCTCGGGCGTGTTGTACAGTATATTCCTGGTCACATAATTTAGTAAAGCCTGAACTACGCAGAAGACAAATTCGATACATATTTCCTATTTGTATTCACTATATGAGGTTATAAGGAGACTTATTTTTATGCAAAGGTTTCTTGAAAAGCGGCTTTGTGTTGCAATTCGATACTTCAAAACTCATTGAATATCACAATGAGTATAATTATCACATGCTTCGTCTTGTAAATTGCATGTGGTCATATACACATGTTTCGTAATCCATGCGGTAGCATAATGTTTACGGTCATTTATTAATCAGTACAGCTGAGAAAGAAACTCTATAACAGCTCAGTAATCGATCAGCCACAAAGACGCGAAAACAAATCTGCAAAATCTGGTACGTATATACAGTTCATACCCGTACCTGCATAAAGTCGCGCGGGCAGCTTCTTGCGAAAAGTTCTTGATGGGATTAGTTTTGAATGCGGAGAGTACAGTCTGGATAGTACATGCATCTCATGAAACCGTCATCCTCCAACTTATCATATAAGGTGGGACAGGGAGTAATTGTTGTGGGATCGAATACATAAGTAAATAATAAATTTGTGGAGATCATACGAAAATTGCCACGTTTCTCGAAAAGTCTTATCTCTTTCTTCTATTTTTCTGAAGAGCTTCCTCAATAAAAGTTTCTGGATAGGACCCGATTAGTGATGATGGCACAAGTTCCAGCTGGTGGTACAAAGCATTGGTCCTTTACCGCATCACTTGAACATCACACTTTTACAGAGCTTCTCACTTTTACACGTTTCGAGATATCAATTCTTGTGCTGTCAGAATATAGGCTTTCCACAGTACAAATTGAGGCTAAATTTGAGGAATTTTCATGGTGTCGTCAGAGCGGCATCGAATTATTTGCCTATCTCACTTTGATGAGGCATAATATTTGCAGGATCTTTTTGCACCTTTTTTAAACACAACAGAGGGAAAGATGCGTTCGACCACAATATGACTGATACGTACCAGCGTCTTATCCATTTGATATTCTCCGTTATGTTTGATCATTACCTTAGTGGATAGTCCGATTGAGAAGCCATGACTAGTCATCACAAAAACACTGACGGTGCTCAAGCATAGATTGGGCTTTAAATGGCGAGCCAGTCTTAGAACTCGAACTATATGTTGCTGAGAACCGATTGTTCAAGGCAAAAATTTATTTTATCGCCTTTTCTTACTGCAAGGCTCAAGCTGATGCGAGGTGATGGGGTGATCAGGAGACTCCTCCCTTCTGTTCCAAAAACGTGTGTCAAATAATTCACCAGGGCTTTTTATGCATAGATGGAACAAAGGTCTTAAAATTTGGCGCAATCGAAAAGTGAAGGAAGTTAAACTGGCTATTCAAATAGACGACTTTTGTTTGCTTCTGTAAAATTGTAGAGATGTTTTTTTACATTCTTACCTACACTTTTGCTTCACAGCAACAAAATATCCTCTATCATGTTAATAAATCTTCAAAGGTTTCTATACTTCTCAGCCATTCTTTCAGTCTACTTTAGATTATAATTCTTAAAAGTTCGCGCGTGAACGATATGTCACTTCCAAGTACAGACATACAGTGGTATCAGGGCGGTCGTAAATTATCAGCTTATTCTTTTTGAGATTCTATCTTGAATGAAAAGTAGTCTGCAGTTCATCAGGTTATAGTGCTAAGATATAAGACTCAGAATAGAACGGGCACGCCGCTTCATCAATCGCATTGGCAGCTAGCTCAGTCAACTTTTAGTTTCAGCCCAACTCGTATTTGCCCCTTCAAGTGAGTTGTAACAAAGTTTCCCGAAAATTATAACGAATAAGTTTAGATTCGAATTTAAGATTTGTACTAATCGCTATAACAGTATAGAGGTTTATTGTCCATCTATGAGTCATGTAATCTGTAATGTATTTGTAGTGTTGTGTCGGCATAATCTAACGCATCTCTGCTCGCAAACACACAATGCATGCACGCGCTTATCCCAAAGCGAAGTCCAGGATTCCGAGACATGTTTTCCAAACCCATCCATGACCTTATCACTTAGGTCTCACTTTTCATTTTGCACTCATCTACTCCCGCTTCGATCTTAGAGAGCATTCACCAATTATCGGCAGGCGATGGGCCTCAATCACTTAACTGCCGTTGCATCGGCCTTACTCACAATCCAGCTCGACTCCAGTGTAGCTGACGTTGTATCCTTCGATTGGCGTGTTACAAATATCTACACCGAATACGACGGTGTCTTCATTAACTCCATTGGAATTAACGACAAGCCTGCTGACCAAGCCGTTATTGATGTCGAGTTGGGCCAAGAAGTTGAGGTTCGTGTCACAAACGAACTCACTGATCCAACATGTTTGCATTGGCACGGAATGAAGCAACTTGGTACCCAAGAAATGGATGGAACATCCGAGATTACCCAATGCCACATTCCTACAAATGCAACGGCAGTCTATCACTTCACACCGGACAAAGCGGGTTCATTTTGGTGGCACAGCCACCACTTGGCACAATATGCCTTTGGATTGCGAGGTCCTATGGTTGTTCGCGCTCCTAGAAACCAAATGAAGGACTGGGAAAAGGACATTTACGGCGAGTACATCATTCAACTTGCAGATATGTACCATCGACGACCGGTTGCTGTCCCAATTTATAACTCCATCCTGATTAACAACCGAGGTCGATACAATTGCACGGCTGCTGCTAAACAGAATTTTACAGATTGCACTGATGTTCAACCTCTTCCAAAATTCCACTTTGAGCCGGGAAAAAAGTACCGTCTGCGCCTCATTAGTATGGTCGCTTTGGCTCCGATCGACTTCAGCATTGACGAGCACAAATTCCGAGTTGTTGCTGCTGACGCTGACTACGTCAAGCCATCAAAAAGTTTGAACTCGATTATGATCAACGCCGGTCAGCGGTACGATATCATTGTTAAAGCGAAATCTGATAAGGATCGAAGAAACAATAAATCCTACTGGATGCGAGCAAAAGGCCGTCACGGTACTCCTTGGACAGCAGGAACCGCTGAAATGGCTGGTGAGGGCTTTAATGATGAAGGTCTTGCTATCGTTTCCTATGAAGATGATGAAGCCGAACCGACGACCAGCAAGCATGATAAAATAAAGACTATGCCTGAGTTTGACTACAAGCCAGAAATAGTAGTTCAGCTTCCCGAAGTACCCGACCACCGTTCAATAATACAATTTCAGATGCAAAATGGACTTGGGTACGTTGCACTCAACGGTGGCGATTTTCAGCACTTCGTTAACCCAGTTGATCCTCCACTCTTCACGATCGCAGATGGTTTGAAGACCGAGCAACTTCCTGTCGACGCCAATGCTATAAAAATCGACTATGGCAAACATATTGAGTTGGTGTTAGTAAATGTGAGAGGGGAGCAACATCCCTTCCACTTGCATTCGCACTCTCTGTGGGTCGTGGCTACTGGAACGGCACCACTCGATCAAATTGTTAACAACACGCTGCCGCGTCCAAATTTAGCTGACCCGATGACACGTGACGTGTATACCGTTCAGCCTTGCAAAGTTGACGCGAATGATAACTGTCTGGAATTTGGATACGTGATCTTGCGGTTTAATGCTGACAGTCCAGGTGTTTGGATTGCCCACTGCCACATCGACTGGCACATTGAAGCCGGGTTGGCTATGATGCTTGTGGAGGGTGAGGAAGAGCTACAACAAAGAGGAGCAAAATCCTTTTCCAAATCCATCCTCAGTGTCTGCGGCAGAAATAGCAGGTTCTCGCCATGAACCCAGAGACCGCGCTGGAGCAGACAGTTTAGGACACACCAAGTTGTGAATATGTCGCTTTAAACGACCAAATATATCTACCATGTCGTTTTGTTGATGACGACAGAAATATTTGATAAGTAAACGTAGCAAAAATTGTCCGAATATCTTTTTTCTGTTTTACCGCCTTTTTCTGATACCTGGAGCTGTCGTAAAGTGACTATAGATAGATAGATACCTGTTAAAGTTCTCGCGGTCATGCACGGATAGCAATCGCTATGCCACTCTTTCTGTTGTCGCAGGTTTGCTTCCTCTGATGTCCTGAACGGTTCGGCGCCACAAACGCGATATTTTGTCATCACTACATCCGCACAAGATAATTAGTAGTCTCTTGGTGACTCTAGCTGCAATGCAGGGATGTAGAGCGATCAGTTAACGATAGGCTTTTGCGCATCCAACCTGTTAAACGGAGCTTGCGCTGGATCCAGCAGTTGGATGGTCTTAGCTTTTTGTCTAAATGTCCTCAGTTTAGAAATTAGAGCTCGAAAGTGGTACCGAGAATTCTATAGTAGTTGTAAAGTGATTACCGATAGGACTGGAAGCTGCAGAAGCACCATAAATGAAGGGTGTGGCGGGCGTCATACAATAAGTCATCAAAAAGCGTGCATTGCGTAGCTCACTAGAAAAACTGAAGGCGTAATCGGGATAAGTCGGCGGAGGTATAACATAAATGGAACATTAGCAACAGAAATAAACAACTAGGCTACTCTTGGCTTCAATTTAATTATATGCAAATGTATATTCTATGCATGTCAGTGGTCTGCAACATCACCCATTGCAACATAAAAGTCGAAATGACGGTCCGCTGGACCTTGCGAGGAGATTGGGATATTTATCACTAAAACCCAGTGTTGAAGGATGTAAATAAGTTTCGAGAGCAGCTTCATGTCCGCCTCAGACTTTTACCGCTTAAAAAAATCACGTTGAGAATCTTAAATAAATCCGTGATAGGTCATTTTTCGCGGTTGTACATCTAGCATTTCCACCAGCAGGTTGATAACCAGCATGCCGACGACGGTGATTGTGGCAAACTTAATCGACGAAAAAAACTGCTAAGTAATGGACAGCAGACACAAAAGTAAGTCCTGGTGCTATCAAAGTCAGACTTGGCCAGCGGAAATGAAAAGTGAACTTGTGTAGTCTCCAGGTCCTTGTCAAGGCGAGATCAAATAATATCATACTGCTGGGATACAAGAAGTAGTCTAACTTGCAAAGCACGAATTGTCCTATTCCTGAGGCCGTTAATAAAATTAGTGATTGCACATCAATTTCTCGAGTGGCACTAGGGCTGGATCGCCCTTGTGGTGGATATACACAAGAAGCCGGATGCACTGAACGAAATGGCCTCGCCCGCAACAACATCAGGGGCATGCGGTGAGCTGGGGATCAGATGTCTTCATCTTGATATTAAAATTCTCCAGCCTAAGGATCAAGACGATGAAACAAATCCTGATAATAATACATTCCCATTCATTAGCTGTTGCGCATTTTGGACTTGATGTCCATTTAGTGGAGCGCGCACCGAATGCGAAAAAAAGAAACCTCGACCTACTATTCCATCTGATTGACAATGATTGTGACGGTCGGTCATCGTCTTCTCTCTGTTCGAACTGTAGCTGAGGAGCTCCAGGCACCAGATTGGACAAATGACGTCTGAATGGGATCAGAATCTAAGTGAGGGTCGGCGATCGTGGTGAAACACTTTGCAATGTGCCATATCGCAATATACCCGGAAGCGCCGATCGAAGTCTAACAAGCCAAAGGGAGTAGTCGAGTCGGTCGCCAAGGAAGGGCTCGTGTGTAGAGTCGCAGAGGATTTTGATGACTTGCTCTCCAATATAAATGTGGCAATTCTGGCAGTACAGATGCACTAACGCGATATATTGAGCCAAGACAGGCGAGCCTCGTGCAAGCTTTACCCATGTTCATGCAATCTGCAGTCCACCCGAACCCTTTCTCCGTTTGGAATTAAGTCAATGGCGAAAAGAAACAACTAAATGTTCTTAGTCGTGTGCAAGAGAATGGAAGAGCTCCGAAATCGTCCGAATCGGCTGTCAAGACAATTTGCTTGATGGCGCTGGCCAGCTTAAGATGATCAGCATCATTGTCGTCATAGCGGTCATCAAGAAAAGATTGTATTTTTTCGAGAACGTCGCTTTGAAAAAAATGGAATTAGAAGCTGGTGATGAGGAGGGACACATATATCTGCAAATGTGATATCCACCTGAAATTCTCCAAACCGACGTGATTTTGGTTATGAACATGCTTCCGGAAATTTATATGCGACCAGGGCGCCGTAAACGGACAGTCTGTGCACGCTTAAGCTTCCTACAGCAGTGATCGGGTCATTACTTTCCCTGAGGTCTTAGAACATGCAGGTAACCGAATCAAAGCACGAGGAATTTGCGTCTCAAGCGGTTATCTTCGAGCGCAGTGTTCGACTGGAGTTTAAAGTGTCTGGATATCTGGGCGGGTTTGAGGAAGTCAAGCTAAATTGTCGGGTGCGTACGGGTTGAGGTGTTGTCAGAACCTGGAAAATTTCAATTCTGGAAACAATGCGATCTTTGTTAAACAGGGTATAAAGTTAAATGCTGTGAAACGCGAAAAGTATCTTGATTCAAAGTGGTATCTTGAATGTGGCGCGTCCAGAAAATCAATTTGTGTGACCTGCTGTTTTTGTCAAAGGGCTGCTTAAAGTACTTGCGACGTTCAAGCCTACGGAGGCACAGCTATCTCGCACAGAACAAGAATATGTCCATAGTCCTGTAGAGTATGGGAAATTAAATTTGGGCATCATATTGAATACCTACAAGCAGTGCGCTCTTTTGTAAGATATTCAGTAGACGAATTTGTTTCTGGTCTAGAAAGAGTTTCATTTCTGGGATGCATCATGGTCTACATCCAGTGACGATCAACGCCATGTTGAGTAAGTAGATCGTGTCACTATCCTATAAGAGTTGACAAAAGTGGCTTAACTTGGATAAGCCCTTGCACAAATTTCCACCGACATGGCACCAATACCATTGAAAAGGATGTCAAGTGGGGCTTAAGGGAGTGTCTTTAAACTACTAATTAGTCTCGAATGCGCAACCCGCCAGCTCACCGTGCGGGACGTCTTCTTTCCCTGATGATAAGTTCATTTTGGTGAAGTGCACTGAATTAATATCTTTGCTGTTGTGCAGCTAGGGTCAGCGTTCGCATCAAAATAGTGGCTGTATTTATGTGCATCATCGTTCTGACACCTAAGGTCAGTAACGAATAGGGAGACTTAACCTCCCTTATAAATTGCTTTTCATGCTTCACAAGGAAATTTGTTTATTACACCACGCTGTTCACTTCTCACGACAACTGCTTACAGCTATACTTATCCTTCTCACTGGGCCACGACATCCCCCTCGTTGCTTAGTTCCGCCTCATCAGAAATACGCCATGAAGGCCACGATTTAGGATCAATACTTCCCGTCTTACCTATAGACTGCAGCTTGTTGTCGCATCTGACTTTCAAGCTCGCTTGTGACACTTAACAATATATTTTTTTCGAATTTCGTGCATCAAAGACCCATCATTTTCCACCAAAACTATTGCAGCTTTGTAATCTCGAAAGCTTACCGCTGTTTCCTAATAGAAATGGACTCTAACTCACCGAGCTTTCACCATAAGAGTAATGCGTGGCTTTTAATCCCATTGCTTACGACGTTTAAGCCACGCCTATTTTAAAAAAATCATATAAATGTCCAGTATGAGACAACGCGTCTCACTCTGGAAAAGTCCTCACATATCACAGGAGCATTGAGCACAATCTTCACCGATGTCAATAGTATCCGTCGTCAGAGGCATGGAAATTGTCTTTTGACTCTACTTTAATCTACACGTTAAACACCATGGCTCATTTTTCAGGAATATCATTGTCGGACAGATCATCTCTCAACCACAAAAGGGAGGTAGCTCGCAAAGCGCGAATGTTTGATACTGCCATGAATGCCAGGGTTGCTCACCAGCAGGCGGCATTTTTTTTCCTCTCCAGCATGGTTGAGGTCTATCTCATTGGCACGGTGGTCGAGCATCTAATCTTCGTACCCAACCGACCCTCGCGGCACTAAACTTTACCTCGATTTAATGCACACCAGCTCGTTAGGAAAACTGAGTCTGAAACTTTTCAATTTGAGTCGCGGCTGGTCGGAATTCCTACAAGAGATGGCGCATCCGTCTTCAGTAGAGGGATGGTTGTCATCGCGGCGATAATAGTTCGCAGCTTTTCAACATGGTCAGCTAATTGTCTTTGCAATTGATGGGTGAAACTGAATTTTGTAAGCGACGGTATGCCTTTTACGTTAGTGCAAACATGTCGCTTTATACATTTCTATGCTGGTTATACTTCTCCTGCGAATGTTTACAAGTGCTACAAATTGCAATGGGTTGCGATGAGACTTGTTTAAAAAAATGACTCAGGAAGTATATATTTGTGACGGGTCACACGGCATCTTGCACAGAGGAAGCTTGACATCCAAGAGTATACAAACTCTAAGTGAACGGCAGTTCACAGATCCTTGGTCAGAGGAAC